CTCTTAGAAGAGCTGCAACTTTCAACTTCCATTTATGAAAGCGTGAACTTGCAAAAAAACATGATGAATTATAAACAACCAAAGATAATAACTTAAAAAATTATTAATATTGTTTTAAATATAGAAATGTATCTTTTGTTCCAATTAGTTATAAATCTTAGGTTATTTGAGATTAAACATCTTTAAATAGTATTGGGTTAGATGACCTTCTAGAAAGCCTAAATTCAGGAGATTATCGTGCCATAAATAATATAAGTTAATGTTTGTAAAGAACCTAGCAAAAAAGAAAACAATTTAAAATTAAACAACCTTTTAAAAATGAAATATTTACTAGAATGTTCAAAATAAGTATTTAGAAAGCATTTTCATTAGAGCTACTCTCAAGTAACACTTGATGTGTTTCAAATGATTTCATAGTAAAAAATATCTTTATACTTTATTTTTAAAATAATTATAAGTTTTGTTTAATACATATTTTGTATTTTGTAAAAGATGTCTACAGACACTCAAAAACCTTTTGCTGTTAAATTATTGTCATTCAAGCACTTACTTATAATAGTTAAAGCACAATACAGTGTTTGGTTTTATGGGATGGCATATATATGTAATTGAGAAGAGTAAAAAAATTTCTATATAAAGTTTAGTAAGTAAATGGAATTGTGAACAATGACAATTTTCATAAGTTTTTAAATTGTAGTTTGTAACATATTTTAGCTAAACATTAATTTAAAGAATAAGTTGAAGTTGGAAAAGATAATATAAAGTTATGTGATGATAAATAACAATTAAGCACTTGTATTTAGTTTTGAAATGCATTACCTTAAAAGGTTTATTAATATTGATTAACTTCATTCCTAGAATTGTTTTACCAAAGATGGGAAAATAAAAAATGCCGCTAACATGAAATCATCTGAGTAGCTTTTCTTTAAAGCATTCAATACTGAAACATCAGAATAAATATAAAAATTATTTTAGAGCAATATGCAAAGATACCTCATCAACTTATATCAGGAAATGTAGCATAATCATAATGAAAATAACATTCTGTCATAACTATAACAATATAGAGGACATTTGATTTATCATTGCCTTGCCAAATAGTCTCAAAAATCAATATAATCAATGATTTATTTTAAATGCCCTACATAGTCTCTGTTAAATAAAACTAAAATCATAGATATATTTCAATGTAAAATACCTTTGTAAATCCATACTGTTTTATAATCCAAGGTTTTGGGATGGATATTAAAATATTTGGTCATGATTGTCTTTT